CAGTGTAGTTTCAACTAAATAACACCTTTGATTAATAGAAAATATATATATTTTTTAATACAAGTCTCAATTCCAGAGAACTGAGTTCCGTTAAGTATGCAGTATTAGGGTCTTAAAAAAAAATTTAATAATTTTTATAGAGAGTATTTGTCTAAAACTCAGTGTGAAATTTTTTAAATTTTTATTATTATTATTTATATAAGCACGTGTGTGTGATGTCACATTACTTTCAGTTTTAAGTTGTTTTAAGACCATCACTTTAATTGTAAATTAATTTAGCTGAACAATAGTAAAATCGTAACTACGAGCAGCAAAAGAACTTTCTCAATTTAATCTTTAAGAAAAATAAATAAAAATAAATATTTTCAGATTCACTTTTCATTTTCTCATGAAAGTTTAATGAAAACAAATTAAAAATTATTTTTATTTTTATTATTTTTGTGGTCATTGAAGAAGAAAAACCAAAAATTGTCAACTGAGGTTTGTAGAAACAGAAAAAGCCTGAAAAAGTTAATAGTGAAATCTTGACAAATAATGACAAATAATAAATAGAAAAACTTAAAACCGTAAGATAAATAAATATTAAAAATCGTACGTAAAAATACCATATTTACTGATTTTACGAAATTCTTCTTAAATTAAGGCTAAAAAAGTTTTAATCGATTTTTAATAAGAAGAGAAGAAAACATTAAAAATTCCCATAAATTCGCTGACAACTAAAAGTTGATTGTCGATGAGGCAGCATCTTTTAATTATGTTAAGTAAAAAGAAAAGTGAATAAAAGTTGATAGATAAATTTTTTTTTTGAGTTTTTCCACATGCACTTTGAGGTACAAGTTTTCACAGCGAAAACACAAACAAACCAAAAGCAGCGACAAGTTTTGTTTGTGGCTAGTTGAGATACTCGTAAAAATTATTATGGCCAGCGAAAAATGATTTCGTACTAATTATGTTGGCAACAGGCCTTAATCAAGTAACTAATCGCTGGACTTAAATAAATGAGAAGAAATCACAACAAGAAAAAAGCGATGTTGTTGCAATGCTGTTTGCGATATGCTTTAAACTCAAAACTTCGAAAGATGAAAGAAATTTACGGATGATTTTAATTGCTACATTGACTTTTTTAATAGATCTTATGACTAGAGAAAATAGCTTCCACATCACATCACCACATCAAGTAATGTAGTTCATAATTTTCTATTTATTTTTCTAGTTCATGTTTTTACAATATTCAAGTAGAAAACATTTTCTAACTATATATAAAATATAGTGAAGATATACCAGAAACTGAAAAGAAGAATTATCTTCTGCAATATAACTCAACTTATAGCTATTTGATTACTTCATGTCTTAATTGAATTACTTCCTCTATTACTCAAAATAAGTATATTATTCCTATCTCCGATATTGTACGGACCTATATCAAGTAACCCTGCACCATAAAAATTCTATTATTTTAAATCTAAGCAAAAATGTTCCGAAATGATACATTTTCTCTTCAACGTCACTTAAAAAACAATAAAGAGGTGCTAAAATCTAATAGATTACTTGGTAATATCACTATAAACGTTTATAAGAATGGTTAGTACCAATATGTACTAGTATTCTACAATTGTTAATAACACTGAAGTGCTTTTAATTCAACTCACTTCAACAATATTATTAATGCACTAGTGAAACCTAGATTGGCTTATTACTTTTATTAAAAGTAATAATGGATATTATTATTTCTTCAAAAAAATAATTCTGTGAGTAGCAAAGTTTCTTCAACAATTTTTCTCCAAAGTTCTCTATTCAGCTTTAAAATAAAATTACCTACTATAGTAGTAAGAGAGTAGACGTGAAAATTGCCGAACAGCCGGTACTGCGGCCAGAAGAGACCTATTGTACCAGTTTCACTATTGATTAAACAAAGCCCCTTAAAGCTTTGTGAATAAAGTCTAGAACTAAATCTAGAGAAGAGTTCTTAATCTGTTCTGGTGACAGAAATTCTTTATGAAACAGGTTTCTTCTGTGCGTTATTAAAGCTGGAATTGTAGTTTATGAAGGTGATATTTCAGACCATAATGACCTCTAATGAAACCTGTTATCAACCTTAAATTACATTTTGAGAATTTAAGAATGTCTTTGTAGGAGTACGGTGTTATCAGTGCTTTGCTTTGTCTGAGTCCTGAAAAGTTTACCCAGTACTCCAGCCGCATATGATTTTTCATTTCCTTGATAATCTGTTTTGTACTGGCCCAGTTTATTCCACAAAAGGGTTGAGGGCCTATAAAAGCAGTTTTTGATGCAGTTCTGGCTAGCTCATCAGCTTTTTCATTTCCCAAAACTCCTCTGTGGCCCGGAACCCAGTAAAGGCTTACCTTATTCCGAGCTGGAAGTGATTGCAGAAGCTCGTAACACTCAAGGACCTGTTTTGATTTGAAAGTCCAAGAAAAAAGAGCTTTAAGAGCAGCCTGGCTGTCAGAGTAAATAACGATTTTCGAGCCAGAAGATTTTTTAATTAAATTGGATCTTACGCATAAGTTGATTGCGTGGATTTCAGCTTGGAAGACACTCGGCTATGTGCCCATTGCCTCCTAAATGCTGGTGTTGGGTTCATATATACCAGCGCCAGTGTCTTCATCCATCTTTGATCCATCTGTGTACCAAACCAAACTTTTTGGATCAACCTGTGGGCCTCCATTCTCCCACGTTGAACGTGATGGTAGGTGTACCTCAAATTTTTTGCCAAAACGATGGAGTTCTGTTGTATAGTCTCCATCGCATTAAGGAATTTTATGTGCTCCAAATGTTTTTAATATTGTTGTATGACCATAGTCAAGACAACCCTTGTTCATGTGGAGTTTTAGTCGAAGCGCACTAAGCGCAGCCGTATATTGAATCTGTATGTGCAGAGGTGTCAATCCAAGTATAGCCTCAAATGCTGCAGTTGGACTTGTCCTCATAGCACCAGTCATTAAGAGACACGCTAATCTCTGGAGCTTCATGCAAACAGCAATAGGTCCAGCCTGTGTGACCTTTTGCCACCAAACCAGGCAACCATATGTCATGATAGGACGTACTACTGCCTGATATATCCAAAATATAATCTTTGGGTTTAGGCCCCAAGTTTTACCTATACAGGGCCGTGTTGTCCATAAAGCCTTTAATGCTTTGTTATATACTTTCTTTAAGTGTGAACTCCAAGTGAGTTTACCATCTAGGACAACACCTAGGTACTTTGTTTCACTGGAGAGAGAAATATTAGTGTTTCCTAAACGTACGGGACCTATGTCTAGTTTACGTTTGAGTGTGAAAAATTACCTACTATAATTCAAATATTGATTTAATAAAAAATTTGTTGATAATTTAAAAGTAAATCACCATAAACAAAATCAAATAAGATTATATTTCATATGGAGAATGTAGAGAGAATAATATGTTATAGAAAACAAGATCAACATATTATTGACAAAGTAGCACAGTGCTAAGTTCTTGATCTATTTTTTTGTTATTTATCGTTTGATGATCCTTTTTAAACTGTAAAATATTTTAAAATTGTTCAGAAAACCAATAATATAATGATAAAGATAATTAAAATATTAATTTTTTCTTACCAAAAGTGACGCGTCTTTATGACGAAAAGTAACTATTTAAAGGTTAGATGGATTCGAATAGCAAACAAAAGACAAAAACAAGAATTTTAGTTAATTTATTAAAATTTTAACAAAAATTACAATTATTTGTAACAATACTATGTGAAATGTAATCAAGTCCATAATCGTGGAGGTATATAGGTCTTGAACCTAAATATTTTATATTACTTTTGAAAAAAATCATTTCTTTCGTATGTGTACATATTGTTTATATATATACATATGTATAATATATAACCATGCTTAACAACAATAAACATTATCTGTTACAAGAATATCACTGTTCCCTACCCTCTAATTTCAGGGTTAGTCCCCAGACATAATCACAGCAGAATTATCTTTATCGTTTCATTATTACTTCTTTTATTTCTTCATTCATTTGAACAAGGAAACTACACTCATCACTTTTAATCATTTTCTAATTGTAATTATAAAATTTATTGTAATTAGAATAATATAGTCACATATAGTCACATATAGTCACATAAAAAATTATAGTTTACACCAGCAGCGACCATTTTTAACTAAAAGAACAAGGTTTGAAACAATAAAACTCCCGAAGTAATAACGGAGACCAATAGTTACTGTACTCCTTAATATTTTTAATACATTAGACGCAAGCTAGTTGTTCTGAGGAGAATTATTTCGACCGATGGCAATAGCAATATCACTGCTTTATTCATATTCGATAGAAACTTCCAGAAGTCGAGAAACTCTTTTTAGCGAATGCATAGTAACAGAGAAAATGACACTTTCCTCTTCCTGACTTTGGCCAAAGCTAGGATTGTAGTCGTAAAAGGAAGCAATCTGTTTTTGCTAAGAGCTGTTTTAAACTCAGTGCCTACCTTAACAGTGCTTACCTTTGTTATCTCTGACATAAGCGTATAAATTAACTTTTTTACAGTTACTAAAACCAAAGATTCCACTATAAATGCTAAGTTTTTTGCAGGTGGTCTTTTTTGCACTACTTAATGCGTTAATTTATTCCCAAACTAGCAATTTCGTGTTGCTGCAATCAAATACAATCAAATTTTTTTAACACCGTCCCACTTTTTACGACAATCTACAATTTAGAAGTATTTCAAAAATATATAAACAAGTCTCGGAACCGTTTAAGGCAGCAAAAATTGTAAGACAAATTCGATATGGAACCATCAAATTAATTGAACACTTTTTTTGGCACTCACATGTGCAGCAAAAAATGGTTACCAAACAGTTTTGCCAGTTTTGTTCAGTACTCGAATAAGTCACCAACTATGCAGTAAGTAGATAAAATTAATTATACGGTATTTTTTTAGTATACAACAGAAAAAACAGTTTTAATAAATAAAATCTTTATAAATGTTTTAAGTACAATAATAACGTAATGAATATAAACATGTGAATGAACTATGCATACAATACAGTGGAAATATAATTTTTCACAATATTACGAAAAAAAATATTTCAGAATTTCGTAATTGTCAACTAACTAAATTACATTAGTTGTGGTCAATTATAATTAACACCTCTTAATTGTGTTATAAATTAAATACAATTTTTAATTATACTAATTACTCGTCGTAAATTTCTTCAATTTTTAAAGATTCCTGAAAAACATCAGGGATTTCTGCTTCGTCTGATTTTTCTATAATATTGTGATGCTCTGCAGCCGCCAAACACTGTATAGCTACTTCACGTGCTTTAGCGCGACTTTCATCTGGTAACTGTGATAGACCAGAGAGCAATTCCATAACATCAGTCTCAAGTATTTTCCTTGCTATATCCTCGCTCGAATTAATCATATTTAAAATAACAACAACACCCCGATGCTGTACATCTGGACTCGGATTCGCAATTAGAGTGTGCAATATATTGAGCCATGTATTGATTTCTATTATCTTAGAACAGCATATCTTAGATACCGAAGTAAGCATAGCTAATGCACCTGCGCATGCTTTTGCGGTATCTTCATCCTCCTCTTCGGAGAGTAAGGCCAAAAATTTAATACGATCATTTTTACCTTCATACATTTTCACAACTTCATCGGACATTACAAGGTTGCAAATGCATTGAGCTGCTGCACGCGTTAAATACAAATGATCTTCCATTAAGTAAATCTCAATTTTAGATACACCCTGTTCTTTTATAATACGTTTACGCACAGTTTCATTCATTGACGCAAGATTAGTCAATGCCATTAACGATTCAAAATTCTCAAGTGCTGTGCACTCTTGAGCTAATAAGTTGAGTAGCGGACGAATTACATCAAGGCTTCGTTGTCCAGCAAATGACACTTCCGGGTTTATAGTGATACCAATGCGTGCAAGTGCTTGACTAGCATGCCGCTTTCCTAACAGAAAAGTTGATAACAATATATATATTAAGTCTAAAGTTAAAATTGATAAAATCTACTTACCTTTATCTGTACCTTCCAATGATAAACGTAATAAAGTTTTCACACCACCATCCTGCACTACTTTACCACGTAACTCCTGTTGACTGCACAGTGCGTTTAATACGCGAGCTATCAATTCCTGTGAGTTTTGACTTTCAGTTTTGGCTAACGCACAAAGCGCTATAGTGATACCTTCATTGGCTAAAACAATGATGCGTTTGCTTACAAAATCTGCATCATCCAACTCATGTTCTTCGGGTATATGATGTTTAGCAAATTGAGCTAATTCTACCATTTCAGGAAGTATTTCCTGTTTTTCGTATGCATTGCACAGATTCACAAATGTTGTGACCACACCATAAAGACAAGACTGATCTCCGGAACGTGCTAAATCTATGAGTGCGTGTATAGCAGCTTTGTCTTCTATAACTTTCTCTTTTACCTCTGCATCAAGCGTAAGGTAAGCAAGACCATCTGCTGCCCAGCGACGTATATCCTTATCTTTACCTGGTTTTATTAAAAAACGTCTACATGCTTCAGCCAATTTTAATGTAGCACCATCTGCAAATGGTCGTATAGCCGCATCTTGACCACCATAACTACCTAATTTACATAAGCCAACTAAGGCACGCACACGTATACCATCATCCTTTGAGCGATACAATTGTTTAAGAATTTCAACACCCTGTGCACATAAAGTCTTCGCTTTATCTTTCTTAGAAGATGCTGCTATAAGACACTCACAAGCAACTTTTTGTTGTAGCACATCATCAGTGGTTGCCATTGCTAAAATCATCTGCAAAATGCCTGCAAAGGTAATAACAATAAACATAAAAACGTGTAAAATATTAAATTAATTTTTATTAAGTTACCTTCTCGTGCAACTATTTGATTCCCTACATCCAATGGGCCTTCTAGAAGTGCAGTTATGGCTACTGTAACACGCACTTTTGATTCCATATCTGGCAGCAGAAGTTTATCTTTCACATATTCTTCGACTTGTTCAGTAAATTTCGCTTTTATAATATCATGGTACATGTTCTCATATATACGTGCCAAACATACTGCAGCAATGGTACGCGAAGAAGACGTTATGTTCATGGCACTTTCGTATTTATACTCTTCCAGTTCAGAGCAAACATCCAATAAACGATGTAAGCCATTTATTTCTATCAAACGTTCGGCCCATTCTAAAGCTGTGTAATGTACATTTCGTGTTAATAATTCTACTACAGCATCACGTGCCGGCCCAGATATTGTTCGATCTGTTATGCTATACACCAAACAGCTAAGCAATGTATCAATTTCTTTATTATGAAGTTTACATAATTCTTTATCTGGTTTTGAATCAGTTTTGTTATTCATGCCTGATAAGGAATTAATTATTGTCTGCAAGCAATGTTGTGCCGCTGTAACGCGTTCCTCATGTTTGTGATCTAAAACACGTAAAAACCACGGCACTCCAAGCTCCACTAAGACTGCTTTTGTACGCTCAATAGAACCATAGCAGAGTTCAGCTACTAAACGTATTAAGTTGACATAAATATCCTGATCTTTTTCAATTTTTGTCAAGGAAGCTATTTTCGTAATACAGTTTTCTTTGAAAAGTAAATCTGCACCTACATCTTCTTTGCCAAGTACCAATAAATTATTCGCACCTAATCGTCGTTTATCGGTTGGATTTTCTATGTTAAATGTAAGTTCCATCATTTCTTTTACCTTCGAGGAATACCATAAATAACATACAATATACTCATATAATAACAAACATTCTTACCTTCGTTGAAGTTTTTGCATTTTGTGCTACCCTTTCTTGCACTAGCGCATGTAACTTTTGCAACAGTGGTTGGACAGACTTATTGCTAGGGTCTTCTTTAAATAAATTCGTAGCATCCTTATAAGCTTCTTCGTAACGCTTTAGTGCATCATATGCTTGGGCACGTCGGTATAGCGCTTTTGGATCTCTAGGTGAGAGACGTAATGACTCAGTGCAATCTCTTACTGCCGCCTCATAGTCTTCAGTTTTTAAATATGCAGCAGCACGATTTTTATAAAAAACTGGAGCATCTTTATGATTTTCACCTTTTTGTATAGCTTTTGTGTACAATTTTATCGCTTCCTTCCATTGACCTGATTTAAATGCCTCGTTGCCTTTATCTTTATAGGTTAAGGCTTCAGCATCCACATCATTATCATTTATCGTCATATTAAATAAAATATTTTTCAATAATTAAAAATTAAAAAATTATGTATTAATGTCCTATTACAACAGCAATGCAACAGATGTATCGTTTTTATATATCTTTTAAACACTTGAAGAAACTTCTCGAATGCAGCGCCACACGTTGTTTTCTGAACAAAAATAAATGTTTCAAATGTTTCTACAAAATTCTACAAATTTCTATTTTGCAATTAGATATATTTCGATGGAACATATGTGCTATCCACAAATATAAATAATTCTATTTATAAACTCTTGCATGCTTTTTTGTTTTTATTCAATTTGAATGTTTTTCTTCTATTCCTCTTTCCACCGCATTGACAGCATCTAAAATATAAAATTATGAAGGAACATCTGAAATGAAACTGAAGCGAATATAGTTGATCGTAATTGCGACGTAATCGTAATGATTGCAATGTTATTATTTCTAACCACTTATTAATAGCATTTTTTTAACTATTGTGTGAAATTAAACTTTTAACTTAATATGTATTGTTATAGTGTCAATAAAAAAACCTACGAATGAAATAATAATGCTACTGGCTTCTTTTATTGTGAACTGAATGTTTCGTTTCCACCACTTGAAATCGGGCAAGTTCATGACTCAATGTTAACTGTCATTAACATATGCTGTTTATTTGGACTTTGTTGTGATATAACAATATTGATGAAATGAAATGAAAAATTATATATATTATTGCTAAGGTTTTTGTAAGTATGTTCTCTATTCGTTGGAATTTAATGATGCGGATTTTATTCGGTGTTAATGGATGTAGTAATTGTGGTTTCAGTACCAGTACAGTGTACCTGGCCGGAAGTTATTATGACTCTCTCGGTATACCAAGAGATTCAACTCAAAATGATATTAAAGCAGCTTACTATAGATTATCAAAAATTTATCATCCCGATAAAAATCAAGGTAGCGATGAGGCAGCACAAAAATTTCGTGAAATAACTCAAGCGTATGAAGTACTTGGAAACTATAGGACGCGTAGGTTGTATGATAAAGGTATATTACATATATTTCACTATTTTATTGATTTAATCTGTTTCATCATCTGTTTTGTAGGTATTTTTCATACAGGTCCTACTGTTGAAAAACCCGACGACAAGCCAGATATTGAGGATGATGCAGAAACGAAGTTTTATAAATCCCGATTTAGAAGATCCACTGTCGAAAATATGTCAGGTCGTACACCCATTTATAACTTTGACGAGTGGTCACGAGCACATTATGGTAATACTTTTCAAAGAAAACAAAACGCAAAACTACGTTATGATCAAAAGCAGCATAAAACTGCAGTTCACAACACTTGCACACAATATGATACAATTCTATTCAGTTTTTTAGTATTATTTGCCGGAGGATTATACATGTTTCATTTTGTTGAATCTTCGTACGATACACCTAAACCAAATAATAATATTATTAAAGAAATAAAGGAAAGAAATGGGAGTACTTCAGATTAATTTTAAATTAAATCAATTTGTTTTATTTTATTTCGTTACTATATGACTTTTGAAATCTAATTAATAAAAAAAATCTAAAAACGACCGCTTCTTTTTCGTCCAGTATATTTTGTATCAGGACGGGTTTCTTGACCTTGTCTACGTCGCCTCTCCTTTTTAGCTAAGATCCAGTCTCTTGATTTTTTCAAAGGCTTTCCACGTGCTTCTCTACACATTTCACGTTTTTTTATATATCGTATACGTTTCTCATCCTCTTCTGTGCCTATAGATAAATTATAATTTACAACGTACCAAACTGAACTGTAACTGTTATTTATAATTACCTAATGCCTTAGGCATTGGTGCAGCTCCTCCTGTCATTAAAACTAGAAAATATTTTTTAGCTTTAGTTGAATTTGGATAATCAACTACCAAACCACCATAAAAGCCTGCTTTCATAGCTTGTGATGTCACCATTTCTATCTGCTCCGCATTTTCCGGATAAAACTGAAAAACTGCGCGAGCAGTGCGTGTCAAGCAAGAAAATAATGTGGAAAAAAATTTATATAAACGTTTGTGTGGATTATGTGAGCTTTTGTCTGCATTACAAAGCCATTGCAATGCCGATATGGATATCGCACCATCAAATGTGCCAGGTTTAAAAGGCATGCCTTGTCCCATATCTGTCAATAATAAATCTCCACTAACTTCACGATCTACAGCTACTTTTAGCATAGATGCTGCTATATCTACACCAATCCACACATGATCATTATCTTCTAGGACACTACCTGAGAGACCAGAACCACAGCCAATGTCTAATATTAATTTACATTCTTCCTCCTCAAGAGCAAGTAGCTCTAAAGCGCGTTCAGCCATTTCAACTTGAATTTCAATAATACGAGAGCTATTAAAAGTGGACGATTAAAAAATATAACAATAACATAAATATATACAATAAACAAATTACTTGGTTGAATATTTATTAGCCTCGTCGTCATTGTAAAACTAAATATACATTTAATTAGAAATAATTATGCTTTATTTTTCTGCAAGAACTTACAATCTCAGGTGGTGCTGCGTGCTCAGGTCTTCTAGCCATAATATACAAAAGTTATTATATATCTAATTTATTTTTAAAATGTTTTGTAGATAGGATTAATTATCTGAAACTTTAACGTATTGTTTATGAACTTAGCACGTGTGTATATTTGCGGCTGTTTGCATTTAAAAGTGTTCCATTTCACTCGTTCCTATAATAACGCCAATGTTTCAATACATAAACTTTTAACAGCTGTTTAGCAAAATTGACATTTCAGTTTTGTTTTGATTGGTTTTAGTAATTTACGTAAATTAATGTGAAATTTACATTTGTGATATAATACATGGCGTGTATGTTAAGAAGTGTGATAAAATCTACTTTGCAAGGGTATTTTGTTTAAATAATTTTTATTTAAGTAATCATGTATAATTTTTAAAGAAGGCAAACTGCGTCTAGATGTGTGAAAGCAGTTATTCATAATGCAGCGGCTAGCAACGCTATAGCCAATATCAATGACAGTAAAGTCGAAACAAAACCAAAGCTATTACTTAGTGACTCTTGCATAAAACGTTTACGTGAAATTTGCCAAGATGGTTCATTTCTGCGTATTACTGTGGAAGGTGGTGGGTGCTCTGGTTTTCAATACAAATTTGATCTAGACACCAAGATACAAGAAGACGACCTCCAATTTGGGGAGGAGAAGGCAAAAGTTGTTATCGATAATGTATCGTTGGAGTACTGTACTGGCGCTACGGTTGATTATCACATTGAACTAATACGTTCAGGTTTTAGAATGATGGCAAATCCGCAGGCGGAACAGGGTTGCTCCTGTGGAGCTTCCTTCTCAATAAAATTAGACTAAGAAATTGTAGGCTTACATTGTTAGTGTTAAATTTACATAAACTTAAAAAGAAATTAAATAATTTTATTTCTATATTAAATATATATATATATGAATATTTATCGAAAATGCACAAATGTTTAATTTAAATATTTTTATAATTTTTATAAGATACAAGAAGACGACCTCCAATTTGGGGAGGAGAAAGCAAAAGTTGTTATCGATAATGTATCGTTGGAGTACTGTACTGGCGCTACGGTTGATTATCACATTGAACTAATACGTTCAGGTTTTAGAATGTTGGCAAATCCGCAGGCGGAACAGGGTTGCTCCTGTGGAGCTTCCTTCTCAATAAAATTAGACTAAGAAATTGTAGGCTTACATTGTTAGTGTTATAAATTTACATAAACTTAAAAAGAAATTAAATAATTTTATTTCTATATTAAATATATATATATATGAATATTTATCGAAAATGCACAAATGTTTAATTTAACTATTTTTATAATTATTAAACTAACAACATGTTCAATACATATAATGTTAGGTAAACAATCAATAATACTGGACATAAAGTATTTAAGTTGTTGTAATTGATTGACTTTAAAGAAGTTTTTCTCAACTCAATAAATACAGTAGGCCGTAGCGGTTGAGAATTCCTCCGAGATGAAAAAGTAAATATATTTTTTAAGCATGTAGGAAAAAGAAACTTAAATTTTATATATTTGCCAAATAACATACTGATAATAATTTTTCGCTTCATCAATTTTGAAATCTTAAATAAATATATTTCATTATTTTTCAAAAAATTTAACGTGTAAGACTTTGAACATTTACCATAAAGTCAAATAAATTATATGTACTTAAAATATATACAACATATAAAAGCACAAATTTTAATTTTATTAAATTATTTACATCCGGCTAACTGTTCACTTAAACTTATAACTTGTTCCGTCAACACACTAATTTGTTCTTCGTAATTTAATCGCGTTGTTGCCTATAGGATTTATAGATTATAATTAAAAAATATTGCTTACATAGACAACAAGTGCTTACTAACCAAGTCTTCCTCTAGTATTTGTAGCGCTTGACTTATACTTTTCATCTGTTCATCTTTTGCTGTAAGCTCATGTGTTGCATTTTCAAGACAATTTTGTAAATGATCTACTTCAGTTTCAAATGATGTAATACGAGATTCTGCAATACATTTGTCCTTTAAGAGATCCTCGAATTTTTTACTAAAATTATTATAAATGAGTTCCTCCTTAGCTGGAGGAAGCTGTGTTTCTTTCAAAAAATCACGAACACCACGTTGCGCACTAAAATTTAATAAATTGGAAATTTACTTGGAATTGTAGTTCTAAATTGTACCTTTTTGATTCGCCAACATTAGTTCGAACAGTAATACCCGCCGCTGCTGAACTGCAACTGCAGTTTGCATCATTCAATACCACGGAAGTTGATTTCAGAACATTCTCAGCTTTACTATTACCAAAGGCTTCACTTAATTTTAATATTTCATATTGTGCACGCCAATGTGCCACTTCCTGTTCTAAAAACGCTAAACGTTCTTCTTTCGTATGCATGGCCGCTGCTACATTAGGTAATGATATATGATTATGATCGATACTATGTAAAGGTGTATTATCGCTGCCAGATGCACTTAAAGCATCCTCACTACCAAGCTTTAGAAAAATATTGAAATTGTTTTATCACTATTTGTGTAATTATAGCCAAATCATACCATGCTTGTTGCTTCTATATATTTTGTTTCCAGCTCAGCATTTCTGCTTTGTAATGTCTCTACATCTTGTCGCAAGCGTTGCTCCATTTCAGTATGTTCATTAAAACGTTTTTGTAGAGTTTGTTCTAAATTTTGAACACGTTCAATATGTAACTTAAGTTCACGATCCTTGTCATCTATCTGTAAGCAAATTATTAATAAGTGTGTATCATTATAAATTATATTTTCATGAAATATACCAACGAAGTTAATTGAGCATTATCCATTATTTTCTTTTGCAATTCTTCAAATATAAGTTCATCTTGTGCTCTATCAGTTTTGTTGGTTACCACTCTCGCACCATTGCCTCCACCAATTCCTCGTTGTGTTTCGTTTTGACGTTTTTGATCCTTATCATTTTTACGTTTCTCATTATTAGATAGTTCTTCTTGTAAAACAGCCACTCTATGTTCCAACTGCTTGTTACGAAAAGAAATTGAGTCCATTTCCTGCTCAGAACGTCTGCAATCTGCTTCGCGTTGACGCAATTGCTCACGAAGCACTGCATTCTTTTTGTTCTCCTCCATGCAGTATTTTTTCAATGTTAACATATCAGAACGTAGCTACAGGCATAGATACAAAAATATTTCCAAATTTTTAAATTAAAATAAAGGGGCGTACCTTTCTGCAAGCATTGACTAATCTTTCCACTTTAGGATCCATTTCAATCCCACTTACAATATAATTTTATTAACACAAACTGTGAATACTTATTTTCCTATAAATTTAATACATTTTCTATTTCAATATGCACACATGGATAAAATATTTATATTGACAATATTATATACTTTCAAGAGTTATATTTTTTGCCCGTACATATTTATTTACTTAAAAAGTTTATCGTCTCTGTTGGTATAATTTTTTCCGTCACACAAACACAATAACACATATTGAGAACGAATATATACAAATTTATTGTGAATGCATCAAATTTTGACAACTCATTTTTGGCGTTCCATTGAATGTGTGGAGTTTGACGTATTTTTGCCGCATACAGGTACTTTGGAAAATTGAGAAATTTAGTTTAAATTAGTAAAAAAGAGTAACGATGTCTGCAAGTTCGGTTGATTTAAGTTCATATCGTGATCAGCATTTTAAGGTAAGTTGAGTTTTTAATTGAAAGGCATTGAATTATATTTTATTTGTGAAGGGATCTCGTATGGAGCAAGAACGTTCACTTCGAGAATCTACAACCTTATATATTGGAAATTTATCATTTTTTACAACCGAAGAACAAATTCATGAATTATTTTCACGCTGTGGAGAAGTTAGACGTATCGTTATGGGCTTAGATAAATATAAAAAAACTCCTTGTGGTTTTTGTTTTGTGGAGTACTACCTGCGTTCGGAAGCTGAAAACGCTATGCGGTACATTTAACAATATTAACCCTTAAGTTCACTTCAATAATTTATTTTGAATTATTTTTCAGATACATAAATAGTACCCGTCTGGATGATAGACTCATTAGAGTTGATTGGGATGCTGGCTTTATTGAAGGTCGTCAATATGGTAGAGGTAAGACTGGCGGTCAAGTACGTGACGAATATCGTACAGACTATGATGCTGGTCGTGGGGGTTATGGAAAGTTGCTATCCCAGAAAATTACCCCGAACACAGATAATCGTTAGACACTGAAAATGTATTCTATAGTACGTAAGGTTGTCTAAGACTTAATTATATTTAATAAACAAAATCTTTTCTATAAACATTATTACTAAGTCACTGAAAACACAAATGCAAAACTCGCATATAAACTATTAGCTAAAATTTAAAAATTCAAAATAAGTATATTTTCAATATCAATTGTTTATTATAGCTTAACATATATGTATTAATAATGTACATAACTTGAATAAAATAAAAGATATTTTTCCACTGATTATTTAAGACCTGCAAATAACATTTTTTTCTTAAGACTAAGAGTGCAGCATACAATTTGTTGATAAATGCATAATGTATTTTTGGGAAAAGTCAACAGAATATACTTCTGAAATCATTGTCTTGTGTCTTTAACTCCATTGCGTTATCGTACGTATGTATATAAATTGTAATCATTATACATATACACTTTATATAATGCTATATTTATATTGATAATACTATAATTCACAAAACATTAATTATACATACATATGGATACACTAGTGCACATTCTCTTCATTGATTTCAGACAAGCATTTGATAGTATTGATAGAAAAATTATCCAGGAAGTCCTGCGGTCACTCAGAATCAATCCGAAGCTCATAAAACTAGTAGTGGTTACAATGCACGACACGAGTGGAAAAATGATGGTGCAAGACATCCGAACAAATGCTTTTAAAATTAAAAATGGAGTGGAACAAGTTCATTCGCTTTCAACCATCATTTTCAACCAAGTTGTTCACGATGCCATTACGCCGCTAGTGGTAACAGGGAACATATTCAATACCACATCACTGACCATTGCCTACGCAGACGACATAGCGATCTTAAACAGGCCACTACACAATATGAAAGAAAAGTTCGTCAATTTACAACTTAGAGTTAAGGTAGTAGAACTAAACATAATCGAGAACTAAAAATATATGAGGGTTGGAAGAAACATGCACAGCCAAATTGTAGAGTCTATTTACGTCGGTGATTTCATTTTTGAAGAAGTTGAAAGCGCTAAATACCTGGGTATCCTGATTAATAGCAACAATGACATCAGTTTTTGTATCCAAGACAGAATTGTGGCAGCAAACAGAAGTTATTACGGACACACAAAAATCTTCAAATCTAAAATCGTGACTAGAAGCGCCAAACTACACGCTTACAAGGCTTACATCGTCTGCCTGGTATTATGTTACGGAGCCAAACTTCGACTTTAACGACAGTAGATGAAAACGAAATCAGAGCTTTCGAAAGGAAGGTGCTGTGAAGGATTTATGGTCCCATCCGCCTGAACCACGAATAACTTCGTCGGTGCACGAACATAGAGCTACTACAACTTTGTAACGGTGAATATGCTGTCAAATTCGCAAAGTCGCAGCGCTTGAGATGGATAGAGCATGTCATGAGAATGCCGGAAGATAGACCACAAACGCGAATACTCCATTTTACGCCGTACAACGATCGCAGCAAAGGTAGACCACATATTAGATGACTCGATAACGTGACCGACGACATCAGGAAAATGGGTATCCAATGCTGGAGATCTAAAATATCATGCAAAGCAGAATGGAGAAAGCTGGTTGATACAACTAGAGCTCACTCCGAGTTGTAATGCTGATGTGGTGATGATGATGTATACAGAAATGTATAAATATATTTGTTAGGTTAGGTTGGACGTATAAACTGTACATATACAATGAATGAATCCTTTCAAATGAAATGAATCCTTGTAATACAAAAACTTAGAACATTTGGCATAAGCTTTTGTACAATAGAAGAGAACAATTACATTTCTTAGATTTGACTGGTATGCATACATACATTTTTTTGAAAATGTGTTTCATTTTAATATAAACTTCACTACGTTTATACAAAATATATGTCGTAAAACACCTGTACAAAAATAGTAATATAAATAATAAAAACATTTAATTGGTAGTATATGTTAAGCTGGAGTACATAGATACTTATAACCGAAATATTGATTCATATTAATTTATTATATACAATGTTCCCTTTCGAAATACGCATATAATTTTTTAATTTTTTTATACATTAAAAAATCAGATTAGGTGAAAACTCCTGCTAAACTTATTAACAGTCTTGTATATAAAGGTACAAGTTCTTATTGTTAGCGTTAGTATCTTTTTGCCACAGCTCCTATCTGCGACTGATAGAACTTTTTCCACAAAGTGCCATTCGCCATTTCAAATTTAACTCAATATATTTACGTACATATATCAAAAGATATGAATAAAACTTCACAATCCACTTCCAGTGGGTATTTAATTTTATTCTCAACATAAAAGAATATATCAGCACGCACCTCAAAGACATCTGCTCGTTTTATGCTCAATCAGAAAGGTTTAAAGTCACTGATGCGATATATACACAAAACTATATAAACGTCCAGAAGGTATATGAAACCTCATTGCTTATAAAATTTGAACAAATAGCGGTACACGCCTTGCGTAGTCGGCACTATATGAATTAATCTGTTCTTGATATTTTAAAACGGGTGTTTTTAATAGAATCCCCAAACACAAACTAACTTAGGTAACCAATTCTGATGACACTACACTACACTCCTATGTACGTGAACAATGCAATCGACGTCTTAAAGCTTTGAAAACATTGAATCCAGTTATTATTTCTATGTCGTTTCTCAGAATGCTTAGAGCTATTTGTGTTTTAAATATTGCCTTTCAGCTCACATATCGCCACGAACAAAGCAAAGACCTACGAATTACTTATCAAAGACTAGAAAGTTGAAGCCGAACAGTTTACTTTCACCAATTCTTTTCAAATTATACATATATGAACTTACTCTGAGCCCAATGAGGTAATATCGTTCGTGATACTTTTTTTGGGATGACTCAAAATTATAATAAAATAACATATTTGACTATATTTCATCGTTTTTCATTGAAAATGCGTACTACTTGAATTTGATATATGTCTTTAATTAAATTCTTGATTATGTATTTCATTTAACATACATTTTGCAAATACATTCTAATAAGCTGACACTATAAATTAGTTTTACAGCGTATAGATACACTAATTTAGTTTTATAATTCTACCTCTAGTACATTAATTTTTACCAATTTTATTGGCCAAAGAGCAGCTTAATCCAGTACCATCAGGTTCAACATTTAATTCCTTCACTTGGCCGTCTTCAACAACCATTGAAAAACGCTTAGCACGTACTCCGCCCAATGGTGGCAAATCAATTGTTAGATTTAATGCCTTGGCAAAATTTGCAGCAGGATCAGCTAACATACGAACTTTACCAGTAGCATTATGTTCCTTTCCCCAAGCTGACATAACAAATGGATCATTAACAGATACACATACGATTTCGTTGACACTTTGATTACTCTTAAGATCATCAGCACCAGTTATATAACCCGGTAAATGTGTCTAATGAGTAAAATTCATTATTACTTTATAAATATTCAATTTAATTATTCGATCACCTTTGAACAGCCAGGTGTAAATGCACCGGGTACTCCAAAAATAATTACTTTTTTATTAGCAGTCAAATCGGAAGTGTTAATTTTATTAGCTGGTGAATCTTCAAAAAGATCAACGGAAGGTAATTTATCTCCTACCTATCAAATGAAATATTAACGAAATATAAGTGAGCAGCAAAAATGCATGAATATTATTTTCAATGTACGGTTGGCCATGACCTTCACTTTTTCAAACATACGAGTACATTATTTTCAATATACTTTGTATAATTACATAATTATTTTATATACCAGAAACCAAGTCGTTTTATATAATAAAATAGCTTACTTTGATTTGCGCCATTGCCATTAAATTAATTGAAAATGCACGTCCTGTTTGTTTTCTAAAAACAGAAAACCTTGATAGAGTTGCAACTTTTGATAAAACAGATTGGAATTGCATTTTGCTTTCAACTACGTTTTCATGCGGCGTTTAACTAAAGAATATGCGAGAATAACCAGTGTTGCCAACTTAATAAAACTCTTACATTCATTCGTTTTACGTTTACATATTTTTTGATACATAATTATCATTTATTGCAACATCATATTTGTTTGAATTTTTACAAATAAAATTTTAGACTTGAAGATTTCTTTGAAGTACTATTGAAAGAATAATATAAGGAACATATATCCATATTCGGTTGATCGGATAATATTTTATATAAAGTTTAACATGATGTACAAAAATAAATTTGTCTTATATAATATACAATTAATTATAAGTTATTAGCCAAACGCTCAATGTCATCTAAACTATATGTTGTCATCTTTTTTTCAAAATCTTCCATGAATTTTTTAGTTAAAAGTTCAGACTGTTGCTCTGTAAAAAACTTTCTGAACGAGCGGCTTATTATTTCACGAAGACCCTCAGGACGCATAACAATTAAATTAAGCTTCGATCCGTCTAAAACAATTAAAATACAATTTCAACAAATATTATTACAAATAAACCGAATATTATGAAATTATATATATAATTAAGTAAAATTACTCCAAATAATATTTTGTTTTGAGCTATATTATATATTGTATTTGGTTAATTAAAATAAAATGTTCTCTTTCTAAGCCGGTAAATGCTTCGAGAATGTAAAAATGTACGAGCATTACGAATTGTCCACTTACTCAAATTCGTATACTCGATGCGAACATTTTAATGTGTGAAAATATTCGAGCGGCCCGATCATCTTCGAATAGCTCGAAAAATATTTGAAACAATACCTTTTGTATGTGTGGACGAATAAAGTAAATTCCGCGATCAATTTGCCGTTTCAATTCATTAGAACTACTGTGCTTACAGGTGAGTTAGTTTTAAATATATAAAATATATGAACAAAAACGGTAATTCTCTTATTCGTCCGTAACAAAAAATCGCTTTTAGTAACACTCAGTTAATACCTTTTATACTGGGATAGAAAGATACACTACATTCATCGCTTAAAGTTCTACCCACTAGCAACAATTTTTGGTTTCCTATAGGGATTTTTAAAATTTTTTCTATCTGTTTTTTTATATCCAAAATGGTAGTAGCCTCATTCACCTAAATAGAAACAGAAGCATTTTGTACAAGGTATACCAAATATCATAACATATAATTACCTCTAACGGGCAATCTTGTCCTTTTAAAACTTTTATAATAATGTGCATTTTATAATTTAAGTCTTTTATTCTAAATTTAAATAGATTTTGCTCCTCAAGTACTATTTATTTTAACAAAAATTTATTTTCCAAGAAGTAAACTTATTAATGAAATGTCAAAAATGTGTGCGAGCATTGCCAAGTTGTTTGAAGAGAATTAAAATATATGAGACTGGCACATATGCATTATATAGTAGCAAAAAAATATATAAGCTTATTTACATACATATATTTGTATTTTTATAATCAAATTAATTAGTTAATATGTATATCTTCTTGAAAATTTTTTTGAATAGATGCTACGTGATAGTGCTAACAAGTTTCATTAATATTTAAATTTTATCTGTCTGGTGAAGCAAAAATTTCCCGTGTTAAATTTTATTATATCACTTCAAATAATGTATAAACTGTACATATACAAACAGATAGGCTCGGTTAGATCAGTTAATATCACTATACTTATGAAAAGTGTATAATATGGCGTTTACATTGGCCAAAAATGGCTCATTTTGGTCAAAAATCGAAAATGAGTAACGAATGGCTCATTTTTGCATATAAAATTTCAAGCGCGAAAATGAGCAACTTTCTCACATTCTGTATGAAAGCCGTTCGAATGCATTTCACATATGTTCCAAATGCAAAGGAATCCATTGAACATACCCTAAATGAAAGCTCTTCATGGCATTTTGACAGTTTGAAAAAGCTGTTTTGACATATTTACAAAAAAAGGTAAACAAATGTTTAGTGGTTGCATTTTCTTTAAAACGATGCACTGCTTTTACTTCCCAAAAAGTAATTAATCGAAGTTAAAAATATGTTTTAAGTTTCTAATGTAAGGTTTGAAGGCATATTTAAACTTCATGCAAAATTTTTTTGGCACAGGCCAAAAATCAAATCAACATGCTAGTTCAAAATGAGCCATTTTCGGCCAATGTAAACGCCATATTAGGTTTATAACAAAGATTACCTCATTTTTTGGTTTATGTTGATCTAGTATATCCTTTGTATAATAAAAAATTTGACAAAAATTTCAAATGTTAACAAAAATTTGAATCATATAAAAAGGAAAAAATTTTTTTAGTCCTACATTGTTAATTAAATAATGCATCACCCCGTTTACGCGAACCTTATAATACGGCATTTAAACTGGCTGAAAATGACTCATTTTGGTCAAAAATCGAAAATGAGGAGCGAAGGAATCATTCCTGCATACAAAATTTCAAGTGCGAATGCGATCTATTTCATCATATTCTGTATGAATGCGTCCCAACGACGTTCGAATGCATTCCAAATATGTTCCAAATACAAAAGAATACATTGAACATACCCTAAATAAAAGCTCTTTATGGCATTTTGACAGTTTGAAAAAACTTTTTTTTTGACATATTTACAAAAAAAGGTAAACAAATGTTTGGTGGTTGCATCTTGAAAACGATGCACCTTTTTTTAGAACTTCACTTCCCAAAAAGTATTTAATCGAAGTTAAAAATATGTTTGCAGTATATATTTTAAGGTTTAAAGGTATATTTAACCTTCATGCAACATTTTTTTGGCACAGGCTAAAAATCAAATCAACAGGCAAGGTGAATAATCAGCTGTTTGAAATGAGAACAAATGAATTGCAACGAATGTAAACACTTTCAAATGGCTTATTCAAAATGAGCTATTTTTGGCCAATGTAAACGCCATAAAAGGCTCTTAAAATCAGATTTAAGACTTCTTATAATTTGAGAATTTTGGTGAGAGTCGGACGAGCAAAGATTGCGATAAAAAATTGTAAAATAATTGAAAAAGTTGTAGACATTTATTCTCTTTAAAAGAAACAAAATTGGAAAAAAATTCTACATACAATTATTAAAGAAGTTTATATTTTTTAAAATTTATTTTGTGCAAAAATCATTTTTTAATAAGTTTTTATATTTTAATAATTATTTTGTGATTAAAACTATTAAAGTGCAACATTTTAAAGAATTAAATTAAAAATAATTTTAATCTTAAGAATTAAAATAAAAAATTAAGTTTAATTCTAAGAAATATGAAATCTTTATATAGTGAAATAAATGACATGTTACTATTATCATCATTTTAATTCCTTCAGTTTCGATTACTATTTTGCACTCTGTACTTGCTCCGCTGTTGTTCTGAACGCTGTAGAAAATAAATCAACATGAAGTATGTTTCAAAGTGTATAGCAAAGCGCATACTTGAACTTCATACTTGGTGTGCAGATATGTAGCATCGTCTATATCATGCTTTAGTAAAGCCTGCAAACCAAGTATGACGTGCTACCAATTCGCACTGTGTATATATAAGTATGCAGACCAAATTTCGATCTGTAGGCATGTATGCGGTAAGATTACATCTTGTTTCAAAGTGTATAGCAAAACGTATTCTTGGTCTGCATACTTGAAATGCATACTTGTAGCATTGTCTATATCAGGGCTATCCAAAGTACGACCCGCGGGCCGCTTGTGGCCCGCGACTGTTTGTGCGCCCGCGACATGTTTTTCATCTATTACAATTACGCAAATTTTCTTTTGGTATACTAGTAAAACTACAATATTTTATTTTTACGGTATACCTGAGATTTGATTTTAAATTGATAAATAAGGAAAACTAAATTTAACATTATAACCGTATTTATTATGTTATAATATATTTATAATAACAGTTATGAACGTATGTATTTGTTTCTGCGGCCAATCTGTACAGAAATTTGTCTTGGCACGCGATCGCATCTGATCTGGACAGCCCTGCTCTATATCGTGCTCTAAGAAACATCACTTTTAAGCACAGCGTTAACACCTTCAAACTAGTTTAAGGTTTGAACTGTCAGGTGTTAACTGTCAATAGGTATTTGAATTTTATTACAGAGAAAAAGGGCAATAAAAAGAAAAAATAGGATAAAAGAAGAAGATGAATACTTAATTAAAGTATCTGCAGAAAAAGATATAGTAAAATTGTTGGACGGCAAGAAATATAGAAAGGACACAGTTTATGAAATAGTTCGCCAAAAAATAAAATTCGAAAATATTGCCATATTATAAAAAAGTTGTAGTTGCATTTCCGTAGTTTTGTAAATTTTATACGGAATGTTCCTAATATCTTCATTATTTGTTTCTATTTTTTTGGTTACAATATCTTTCTTTTACAATAAAAGTAAAACAATTTGTAGTTTTACTCTATGCTTTTTTAGAATATTTAATATCAACATTTTTGTTTATCGTTTGACAGCTGAGTAATTGACAGCTTCCTTAAAAGTGCTTTTAATTCTTGTGCCTAAAAGCTCTTAAAACGGATTTTAAAATCAGTTTTAAAAGTGATTTTAAGACTCGCATAAACGTAGTGTATATACTTAGTTTTTAAAAATTTAAGACAGCATTTGGACTCTTTTTAACATCTTAAAGATCTCGCGTTTACTGATAACGTATATCTACAAATCAAGTACGAAAACATTTAGAAAAGAAATTTAATTCCATAGTAATTGTATTATAGACCAATGTTTGAAATTAAAGTTATAACCGAAAATAATGCTAAAATGTGATGTTAATTATCACAACATTTAGTGCATCAATGCATTCAAAAACAAAGCTACATTTAAATCGAGATATGCATTTACCACTCCTACGTTAATCTGAGCTCTTGTATTAAATAATATACATAGAAATGCGTTCATAAGTCTCAAAAGATATCCGAAGTGTGCAAAACCTTTGCAGAATCAGAAAACACGTTGCAACATAAACATATAGATGAAGTTCGTAACGTTGTCGTGCTCGGATTTGTGCACACACAAACATGTAGCAAATTACAATATATACTGAATTAAAAGTCATAGACGTCTGCAACTGAGTTTAATCAAAGACGATGGAAAAGACTTTATGCTCTACCTAAAATATAGGACGACTTATTTACACAATACAAGTTTTTGTAATTATGATCGTAATAACCTTTTCACTAGCCTAAGTAATCGTAATATTGATTGTAACCTTACTATTTTGACTCTTCATTATTAAGTTAAGTTAAAATTAAATTTGTAATAAGTTGCAATCAAATTCGTGTTTCACAACTGAACAATTGTGTAGCGATATTATCAAAAATCTAATACTACGTTTACATTATGAGATTAAGAGAACGAGATTAAATTAATCTGGATTTTTTATCTCCACTGTTTACTTTATATATTGGAGACTAATTTTGACGTTTCTCTTGTTGTTTTTATGTCGTGTGTTTCATAAATTTTTATAAATAAAGCATTTAATTACAATTGTGTACAAAAAAGTTATCATATAAATTTAATAAATAATTTTATAACAATAATTTAATAAATATTAGTTATAATGATGTACAAAACTGTTATTGAACAAATTTATTGAAAATTCACCCACTTCATCATTTTCAAATTTTCAATGTTTTTGTTTTATTTGTTTTGACTAGATTTTAACATGTCTTTTCCAATCATTCCAAGATAGTAAAAAATATACGATATTAAGCCATTTGTAGAGTTGCACAGAAAAATAATTATCATTATGAAGGAGATTTAAAACTAATCTCAACCAAAAGAAGATTTAATTTTGTATGGGAGACTTATCAGAGACTTACAACGAGATTTGTACTTTAATCTCGATTTTTGCTTTAATCTATTTTTAATCACACAATGTAAATGCCATATAAAGCAAATATAACCACATAACTAAGTATTGCTACAACTTTCGGCCTTTTTTAATAAACAAAAATAAAAAACTAAATTATTACGAAATGAAGATTTACCGTGTTAAGAAAACTTTAGCGATTTGAAACAAACGTATTAGATTGTAATCAAAATTTACGTTATATATGGCATTTGAATAACCTGCTAACTTATACAACAGAAATAGGTGTATTTATTTTAAAATGTACTACCAAAACAAAAATTATGTTATTTGTAAATATTTAATTTATTTAATATCTATGGTTATAGTGTATAGTGTATGTACTACTAGATTCTGATACGTGAAAAAATTAATGAAATATATATTCCATACAATGTATTGAAATTCCTTCACTTTTTACTACTT